AGATAGATATGGATGAGGGTACCTTTATACAATACTGATTTACTAGCTTAGTTTCAATCAGATAGCCACCCAGTAATAGTCTCATTCACTCAAACAAAAACATAAATTTTTATTATTTTTAGATTTTGAAACATTGTATTATATTCCTTAACCAAATGTGGTAACGAGGCTTGATGATAAAAACTAAAAGTTTACATTGTGCTCTTACAAACAGTTTTTTTAAAGAGAGTGTTCACTGCTCTGGTTTCGATTATTTCAAAAGACACAACTTATACATATTTTCAACTATAAATCAGAGCTGAGCCTATCATACCACTAACAGATATTTGCCTACCCACTAATATAAAAATATTAACCGTTTAAATTACAAAGTATAATCAATAGACCTTACAATTTGTTAGAAATATTTTCTACGACATATCTCTTAAAAGTTTTGATTATTCTGACCCGAGGAAGATCTTTAAGACTGAGTTCGACATAATCCTAAAAATTGGGGAATTATAATTATATTGATCTGGGTCAGACATTCAATCCCTTTAATGTTTAAAGGGGTAATGATATTTTTCAACAATAAAGTTTAAAAACTGTGAAATTAAATTTTAATTTGTTTAACAAAACTGTTTGAACTGTATTCAAGCAGGTTTCTAAGTTGTATAATTCAATAGTTTCCTAATGCTGTGATTGTTGGCTCATTGGATTACTGGCTCTCTGCGATATTAGGGGTTCAACTAACATACCTATAGAATTCGAAATTTATTTTTCTCATATTTGCTTATATAAGTATATATTATGACACTGCAATTCCCAAAAACAAAGCATTTCAATGGTCGCGAATATCAACCGACCATAAAACATAGCATTTCAATGGTCGCGAATATCAACCGACCATAAAAACATAGCATTTCAATGGTCGCGAATATCAACCGACCATAAAAACATAGCATTTCAATGGTCGCGAATATCAACCGACCATAAAACATAGCATTTCAATGGTCGCGAATATCAACCGACCATAAAAACATAGCATTTCAATGGTCGCGAATATCAATCGACCATAAAAACATAGCATTTCAATGGTCGCGAATATCAACCGACCATAAAACATAGCATTTCAATGGCGCGAATATCAACCGAATATCAACCGAATATCAACCGACCATAAAAACCAAAATTTTCGAATCAAATAATCTGCGCGGTTGAAAATGCTCCAATCTTCGTCATTAAATTGTTAATTTTTTAAAAGTTTCCTTTTTGTTATGTTTTTTTTTTCCAAACTGTGAGTGGTTGAATCAATATAGTTTGAGATCTGTATCTAAGATGACAAATCCCCCTGGATTAGAACTTCAATTACTTCTGTTTGCTTCTTCATCGGAGTAAAAATAAACAGATCAGAAGATTCAAGTAAAATTTAGGCAGGATGGTTCAGAGAAATTAGAGCAGTGTTTTTACAGGGTGGTTCAGAGAAAATAGAGAAGGGTTTAGACAGGATGTTTCAGAAATAGTGGAGTAGGGTTTAGACAGGGTGGTTTAGAGAAAGTAGAGAAGGGTTTAGACAGGATGGTTTAGAAATAGTGAAGTAGGGTTTAGACAGGGTAGTTCAGAAATAGTGGAGTAGGGTTTAGAAAGGATGGTTCAGAGATAGGGAAGTAGGGTTTTGACAGGATGGTTCAGAAATAGTGGAGTAGGGTTTAGACAGGATGGTTTAGGGATAGGGGAGTAGGGTTTAGACAGGATGGTTCAGAGATAGGGAATAGGTTTTTATTGGAGAAAGATTTGAAAGGGTGGTCATAAAGGAGTATCGGAGAAAGGTTTAGACAGGATAAATTTAAAAAGAAGTATCGTTGCAAGGTTTAGAGTGAAGACAGGATGGTTTGTAAGTATTGGGGCAAGGTTTAGACAGGATGGTTTGTAAGTATCGGAGCAAGGCTTAGACAGGATGGTATAGAAGTATTGGGGCAAGGTTTAGACAGGATGGTTAAGAAGTATTGGAGCAAGGTTTAGACAGCATAGTTTAAAAATATATTGGACAGGATGGTTTGTAAGTATTGGGGCAAGGTTTAAACAGGATGGTTTGTAAATATCGGAGCAAGGCTTAGAGGATGGTTGGTAAGTATCGGTGCAAGGTTTAGACAGGATGGTTTGTAAGTATTGGGGCAAGGTTTAGACAGGATGGTTTGTAATTGTAATATTTCTAGATTTAATCAAATAAAAGGTTTAAACAGTTAAGAAGAATTTGAAATATTAACGTTTTTCAATTTTTTAGCCATGAAATCCACAGACAGGAACTGAATTTAATTTTTAATCTTTATATCTTTGCATCTTGATGTCGCTTTAGACCTTTGATATTTCAAAATGTGAATTCGGTCAGATCAACTATAGTCAAGTTTAAAATATCAAAAAACTACATCATCAGATAACAAAGATGTAGAAATTAGAAAATCAGGTTTGCGCTAATTACTCAGATCTTTTTTGAGCAATGAAATCAAATCATTGATTCATCGTTATAGGGTTAACCGACCTAGGGTAAAATGCCCTAGGATTTAACGAACTATAGGGTCAAACGACATAGGATTAAACGACATAGGGCCCATAGCCCTATTAACCACATTAAAAGAAAAAATTAAAAGGAATATTTGTGTATGTTTGATCCTTTTTCGTTTTACTCTTAATCGTGTTTTGACTGTTTGTTGTTTAAACCAAAGCCTTTTTATCATTTGTCGTTTCACCCATGGGTCGTTTGATCCTATGACGGGGAATAATTTAGAAAAAAAATTCTTACAATTGGTGGGGGGGNGTAATTTTAAATTATCTCCTATTATAAAAAACTATTATTAAACTATAAATCTAAAACCATATTTGCAGTTGTATTAATATAACAGATTGTTGGATATAAATAACTTTAATCCATCATTGAGATTACATTTCTGATATCCTTACCTTAAACCGAGCACAGCTAGTTCTTATAGTAATAATAAAGAAGGAATCAAATCTTTGGTTTTCACAAAATTGAAAATAGTTTTAGACAGATAAGGAGTCGAGTCTTTGCCACAAACTCAATTTTCTAATCACTATAACTTTGCAACCTGATGATATGAAGCTTTGAAATTTCAACCTTTTATTGCCTTATTACTTGAGATAACAGAATTCATTGCTTGAAATATCTAAGGCCCAGGACTCTGGGTTGCAAAGATGTAGGAAAAAGAAAATCAGAGTTTTTTGCTAAGACTCAATTCCTTTACAAACATTTTGCTCAACCTTTAGATTTTACTTAATCTTACATGCATCAATGCACCTTTCAAATTTTGTCATATATATAAAAACAACCTCCAGAGTTTTACTTCAAACATAAAAAATGCGTTAAATGGAATTCGGGCGGCGGAAGTCTGAGTATATTTTTGACAATAAGGTTTTTTGAATCTATACAAATCTATAAGTTGCCAGTGGAATTTTAAAAAAATTTCGAATTTTGAATTTGGTCCATGGCCGTTTGATGCTAGCTTTAGCTAACATATAAATATATACATATATATATATATATATATATACACAAGCTAAGCGCTTTTTATTGTATAGAATGAAAAATGTATAAAAACAATAAACCCAAATAAAATTTTGAAGGTGGAAAAAACTTGGCCGTCTTAAAATGCCTAAATTTTATTATTTTCCCTTGATTGTGAATGAATCCAAAGGATTGGGTTTGTTTTATTTAAATATTATCATTTAAAATAAACATTTCCTACATTCTTGTTTACAAGATTTACAGGATACTGATTACTGATTGATGGACAGTCATGTTTATAGATTAAGCCACAGAAAGAAACATCTTGAAGTTATCATGAAGCAGGAAAAATAGAAATTATGATTTTTTTTTGATTTATGCTGTACAAAAAGAAGATGTTCGCAGATAGAGCCACAATTCAAAGTTGAAATAGAAGATGGGCTGAAATATNGATAAATGATCAAGTAAAGTCGGAATCAAATTATTGAAAAATATTTTAGTTGGAGAGAAACCCATCTTTTCAAATAGTTTAGAAAATGTAGAATACATTCTGATTTTATTTCAATGAAATGGACTAGTATGTCCTATAGGGAGAAAGCCCTTCGGGAATATACAATAAATATTTCTATATATATTTTATCCGCATGGAGGGAAATTTTATGGATTAAATGATAGGATGAGTAGATTGTCGATGAGGTAAATTTTGGATTGTAGATTATAGATAGAAATATGGATGAGTATTGAAATATGGATGGTAGAAATATGGATGGTACAAATATGGATGGTAGAAATATGGATGGTAGAAATATGGATGGTAAAAATATGGATGGTAGAAATATGGATGGTAGAAATATGGATGATAAGAAATATGAAGGGTAGAAATATGGATGGTTAGAAATATGGATGGGTAGAAATATGTATAGTAAGAAAAATGAATGGATAGATTTATATGGATGGTAAAAATATGGATGGTAGAAATATGGATGGTAAAAATATGGATGGTAGAAATATGGATGGTAGAAATATGGATGGTAAGAAAAATGGATAGGTGGAAATATTGATGGTAGAAATATGGATGGCAAGAAATATGGATAGGTAGAAATATGGATGCCAAGAAATATGAATGGTAAGAAATATGGATGGGTAAAAATATAGATGGTTAGAAATATGGATTGAAAGAATATAAATGAGAGATTTTACTAGAAGTAATGTAATCATACTTTCCGAAAGGCCTGCTGCTGAAACATATAAAATGGATAGGATGAGAGACTAGAGAGGAGATGAGTGGGGAGGGGGGGTAGTTTCAGAAAAAGGTTAGAAGGGGTTGGAATATAATGTCCGCGTCACTGGGAAAGGCCCTTGAGGAAAAAGATGAAGAAAGTCTGAACACTTTTCGATATAACTAGAATATCAAATACAATTTTTCTTATTAATAGTTGAATTTTTCCAGAACATTAGATTTCTGACAAACTTTGTGATTGAAGAAATGTTTTTATTTCAGAATTGTAGTTTTCTGATCCTGAAGTGGAGAAAATAATGTGAATCGATCTTGGAACTTTATATGAAAGAATGCGAGGAATAACCTAAGGTAACAGTTTTCTTGAAAAATCCTAAAAAGTGAGGTTATTAAAAGTGAATTTAATTCTAAAAAATATCATATATTCAGCGATCGTATCTTACAAACTTTTGTATTTCTCAGTCCCTGTACACTTTTTCAATCGAAAATTATTGCAAACAATTTTTTGTAAATCTAAAACTTATCTTGGAACTAATGATTACTGAAGAGTTAATAAATAATTCAAGATATATTCAAGATTATAAATATATAAATTTAATATAATTATAAAATAGTTAAAACAAATCCAATAGAATATAATGAACTTTTGATAATTTACATAGTGGGTAATACGTTGCTTTTTGGGACAAATACTTCACACCCCGCCTCTAGTTTTAAAGTATACCATTGTGGCGAGCATCAATTAAAAGTAAAGCAGCGTGGCTGATTCTATTTCTTAGAATTATACTATTTCATAGAATGATTCTATTTCTTAGAATTATACTATTTCGTAGAATGATTCTATTTCTTAGAATGATTCTATTTCAATTTCATAGGATGATTCTATTTTATAGAATGATTCTATTTCATAGAATGATTCAATTTCATAGAATGATTCTATTTCATAGAATGATTCTATTTCATAGAATGATTCTATTTCTAAGAACATTTCTATTTCAGAGGATGATTCCATTTCATAGGCTGATTCTATTTCATAGGATGATTCTTATTTGTTCTTATTTCCAGATCTTGTATGATTTGACCCGGTGGTGGGATGGGCGGGAAATGTTTTCTCCCAACTATTCATCAAACCCTCAAACCAGGAATATATATATAATATATACATGTGTATTGCATACATATATTTAAATATCAAAAACAATTTATCCTAGATATTTACAACCTATCTTTCTTCTACACCTAGACTAGGAAATTGAAAGGCACTGTATAAGATGAATTTCAAGTGTCCCTGCATTTAAAAAAAAGAGGTACATGTCCGATTTACAACAGTACCTTTGAAACATTTATCTGATCAATAATATTGAAGATAACAAAATTTTTTCTGTTGAAAATCAGCTAACTCTTTTAATTTCTCCAGGGGTTTTCTTCAGTTAATATGCGCAAGTAACTTTTGTAGAGAAACCACAATTAAAAATCAATCGGGCTTATATTTTTTGTGGGACCTCACATGACCCCAAGGTAGGTTTATTGATGCTCAAAATTACAAAAATGTGTGTCCAAAAGTTTTTGATTTTTGTTAAATTTTAAAAATGTGCGTAAAAAAATTATATTTAATCCGCGAACCTTTTCTTGTTATTGTTTTATAATGTACAAAGAGAAGATGCTCGCAGATAAAGCCACAATTAAAACTTGAAAAAGAATATGTCTAGAATAAAAAACTGCCAGATGATGAGGAATAGGAATATATTTTTGTAAAAATGCTACGTCGAAAATTGGAAGGGTAGCTCACCTCGAATACGTAAATATCGACCTAATTTTCAGATAAATAAAAATATAAAAAAAAAATTTGCAAAAATTACAATATTGACGGAATTTAGAATATTCAAATAATAGAAAACAAGTTTTATGCCTATTATTGAAAATAAGTTTGAAAAGATATTTTTAATAAAAGTTCCATTCAAACACCGTACATTGTTAAAATTTAATATTCTTACTTAAATATTTTCTTAATAATATAGTAAAATGTTAGAAAATTATCAATTATATAAACTAGGCTTTCAGTGCACTTAGCGCCCTCTTTTTCAAGTAATGATATAATCTTTTAGGTTTTCGTTCATCTTAAATCAGTAATACAAGAAAAAGTTAAAAAACACATCTGAAATATTTGGTGAATTCTAACGTACAAGAAATCCGTAGAGCTAACTAAGGTCCCACTGAATATTTTGGGTCCGGTTAGTACTGTACAGTTTACAATGTTCATATATAAATAACAATATGAAGACTTATTATTAAATATATATTCTGGCAGATTATCTCCTGGAATGAGTACACCGCCAAGTACAACATGGAGTACAGCATACACAGACCATCAGAGCTCACCCGGATCGTACAGTACATGGGGTACGGATCCAGTCGGGTCGTACAGTACATGGAGCACAGATCCCAGTACAACAGATATGTTCAACACCACAGGAAAAGTTGCATTTTATAGAATTAGTCATTTATATATAATTAAAACTATTTTATTTTTATTAATTTGTAAGAATTATTAATTGATAACTTTTTTTGCTTTCTCTTTAAAATCTGTCCTACCTTGATTGATAAACGCTCTTGATCTTATCATTCTGACAAATTGTTTTTTATCATAAAATATTTTCTGATATGAATTCATAAACAGACGTTGAAAGTAATGCAATTTCACGCAGTTGATTTTTTGTAATACATTCACATAATGAACGTGAATATTGCATTTTTAAAAACTTAAAACATTTTTTAAAAATTTTATAAGCTCGTGATATTCGATTCCAGATTTTATAGAATATTTCAGGATCCTTCCTGGATATTAAAGATATAGGACAAGGGAAGCACGGTCAAATATAAAATTAAAGTAAAGATGCCCTTTGAAAATGTCAGTGATAGGACAAAGGAATAAGACGCTTAAAGATTGAAAAAAGGGAAAGTTTTCGTTTAAAGATTTTGAAAAACAGGACAAGGAAATCACAGATTTATTCCTGTTTATAACACGTACTGTCCTATCAGTGTATTCTGTATACTGTCCTATCAGTGCATTCTGTATACTGTCCTATCAGTGTATTCTGTATACTGTCCTATCAGTGTATTCTGTATACTGTCCTATCTGTGTATTCTGTATATTGTCCTATCTGTGTATTCTGTATACTGTCCAATCAGTGTATTATGTATACTGTCCTATCTGTGTATTTTGTATACTGTCCTACCAGTGTATTCTGTATACTGTCCTATCTGTGTATTCTGTATACTGTCCTATCAGTGTATTTGGTATACTGTCCTATCAGTGTATTCTGTATACTGTCCTATCAGCGTATTCTGTATACTGTCCTATCTTTGTATTCTGTATACTGTCCTATCAGCGTATTCTGTATACTGTCCTTTCTGTATATTCTGTATGCTGTCCTATCAGTGTATTCTGTATACTGTCCTATCTGTGTATTCTGTATACCGTCCTACCAGTGTATTCTGTATACTGTCCTATCAGCGTATTCTGTATATTGTCCTATCTGTGTATTCTGTATACTGTCCAATCAGTGTATTATGTATACTGTCCTATCTGTGTATTCTGTATACTGTCCTATCAGTGCATTCTGTATACTATGTCCTATTGTATTCTGTATACTGTGCTATCTTTGTATTCTGTATACTGTCCTATCTGTGTGTTCTGTATACTGTCCCATCTATGTATTCTGTATACTGTCCTATCTATGTATTCTGTATACTGTCCAATCTGTGTATTCTGTATACTGTCCTATCCTTGTATTCTGTATACTGTCCTATCTGTGTGTTCTGTGTTCAAGTTTTCTATTGCATAATTAAACTCTTCGAGTTTCAGACGAAGAAATTATTCTAATTCTATGGATCGGACATGTGTATGGCTCAATGAATTGTCAGACTGGATTGTATGGATCCTTGGATCGAATCTAATTGAATGCAAAAATATTTAAATTGAATTGAATCATGTCTCTTGGATTGATGGAAGTTACTTTCCTTTTCTTATATTTTAACCTTGACAATAAATCCAGGGGACAGTTCAAACCTGAGAGAATAAAGATTCACAGAGTCTGCCATACATCCTGTCTAATACTCTTTGTTCTGAGGCCAACACATTTATATGGTATCGCTCTTAACCCTATTCCTGCGGGGGGGGGGGAGGAATAAGACCTCCCCTGTAGTTGTTTTATTTACATAGCTAAAAAAATATTGGTCTGAGACATTTTCCGACTTTTTCTAAATACCCATAGCCCTTCTTTTAGGCATAAAACCGGACTTTTTTACTAACTGCCTGAGTCCTCAGGCACACTATCTGAATGACTACTTTTTCCTGTAACAAACTAAATCTTTGTTTTGACCCTCTTTTAGTTGTCAGATTTAGATAAGTTTTAGCTTAGATGATTAAGGTAGGTTAAGTTAGAGATGAGTTTGGTTTAAGTTAGAGATGAGTAGGGATCAGGTTAGTCGAGTAGGGTTCAAGTTAGAGATGAGCAGGATTCAGGTTAGAGATGAGTAGGGTTCAAGTTAGAGAAGAGTTAGATTCAGGTTAGAGAAGAGTAAGGTTCAAGTTAGAGATGACTAAGGTTCAGGTTAGAGATGAGTAGGGTTCAGGTTAGAGATGAGTAGGGTTCAGGTTAGAGATGAGTAGGGTTCAGGTTAGATTTGAAAAGGGTTCAGGTTAGATATGAGAAGGGTTCAGGTTAGAGATGAGTATAGTTCAGGTCAGACAAGAGTAGGGTTCAGGCTAGCGATGAGAAGGGTTTAGGTTAAAGATGAGAAGGGTTCAGATCAGAGATCAGTAGGATTCAGATTAGAGATGAGTTGGGTTTAGGTGAGAGATGAGTAGGGTTCAAACTAAAGATGAGAAGAAAAGGAGAAGAGATGAAAAGGGTTCAGGTTAGAGATAAGAAGGGTTCAGATTAGAGATTAGAAGGGTTCATGCTAGAGATGAGAAGGGTTCAGGTTAGAGATGAGAAGGGTTCAGGTTAGAGATGAGTAGGGTTCAAGTTGGAGATGAGTTGGGTTTAGCCTAGAGATAAGTTGGGTTTAGCCTAGAGATAAGTAGGGTTCATGTTGGAGATGAGTTGGGTTTAGCCTAGAGATAAGTAGGGTTCATGTTGGAGATGAGTTGGGTTTAGCCTAGAGATAAGTAGGGTTCATGTTGGAGATGAGTTGGGTTTAGCCTAGAGATAAGTAGGGTTCATGTTGGAGATGAGTTGGGTTTAGCCTAGAGATAAGTAGGGTTCATGTTGGAGATGAGTTGGGTTTAGCCTAGAGATAAGTAGGGTTCATGTTGGAGATGAGTTGGGTTCAGGTTAGAGATGAGAAGGGTTCAGGTTAGAGATGAGAAGGGTTCAGGTTAGAGATGAGTAGGGTTCATGTTGGAGATGAGTTGGGTTTAGCCTAGAGATAAGTAGGGTTCAGTTCACAGATGGTGGGTTTCAGCAAAGAGTTCAGCAATGTTTAGATTATTGATAATAAGGATTCAGATAAGAGATAAGTTTATGTTCAAGATGAGTAGGGTTTAGCCTAGAGATGAGAAGGGTTCAGGTAAGAGATAAGTTTATGTTCAAGATGAGCAGGGTTTAGGTTGGAAATGAAGCGGGGTTCAGGATAGAGATAAGTAAGGGTTAGCCTAAAGTTGAGAAGGGTTCAGGATAGAGATGAGTAGGGTTCAGGTAAGAGATGAATAGTCTAAATAGACTTTAGATCCGATTCTTCGGTTTTTTAGATCAAATTCACTTTAATTCATTGTCAACAAGTATTTTCTATATCTAATTTCACGCGAAAAAGTGGGATTTTGATTTAAATCTTTTTTCTAGAAGAGGGTTCACACATAAAATTCAATACCACCCTTCATATTTACCAATTACCATTACTGCATAATATTCATGTTTAGTATGTAATCCTGTCAGACAAATAATATATATTTTAAATTTAACATAATATGAATGCTGACAATGCTTTTTGATAAACTGAATCCATTCTTTTTATTTAATTTAAAAAATGTGAATTGTCCAGAACTATTTTCCAATGGGACAGAAGCTTCAAATCCTCTGCTTCCAGCGTACATAGCGTACACATCCCTCTCCCTCTGCAGTATAGTTCTAGGTAGGTAAAACTGCAAATATTATGTACAGAAATCGTACAGTACATAATGCACTGATGTACACTATAGAGTGCGGTGGTGCACAGCTGTTTGTATTCAAAGATGTGGAATGCTTTTTTTTTATTAAAAATTGACAAAACTACAGAATTAAAACCAAAACTGGCTAAATATCTGATAGACCCATTAGTACCTTGGACCCATCCAAGGTTATAATGCACGGGACACGGAATCCATCTTTCACATAAAAAATCAATGAAATATTCTGGTCATTATAGGAAACTATTATGTGAATTATTAAAATTATCAAAATTTAATGCTTTTAACCTCCTCGGTTACTAAACGAATACTGATGCATCTATTCTTGTTTACAAATTCCGCCCAGAGAGAACTGGTTTCAATATGTACGCAGAGTATACGCAACTGCAATTAACTTTCCTGGCATTATAACCTTGGACCCATTTTATTTCAAGATACAAATAAGGTAGACAACATTTAGGGAAAATTCTGGAAATAAAAACTTTGGTAAAAAGTCCCAACTTTCTGAAGTCCAAGGACAAAATGTCAATGGAAATAAAGTCCTAAGTTTTAGGTTCCTGGGACTTTTTTCCTAAACCTTTTTTTCAAAGTTCTTTTTTGGCGGTTACTCCTTTGTTCACTCTTTTTTAAACCCTGCAATTTCTTCAGTTCGTGTAAAGCTTAGTTTAGGGGGTGTTATTTATTTAATTATTTTTATTTATGGATAATATAAAGATAATTCTTAAAAATAAATCGGTTAAAATTTACATATTATATAGGTCAAAAGTGAAGTAAAAATACATATTGTGTTAAACTTAAGTTTCTCCCACAAAATGAAAACTGTTTGTTTGCAAATATAAGAGTCCATATTGAATTTATCTCGTTTTTAGAAAACTTATTGTGTTATCTGCATTCTTTTTCTTCATAATATAAAATATTTGTCTCAAATAAATATTTTCTTCTTCTTCCTTCCAACCTCACTAAGCTATGTAAGTGGATTGAAGAGGTCAGGGAGTGAATACAAAACCAAGTTATAAATTATAGTTTGGTGTGCAAACTGCATACATGATGCATGGTCATCTGTAACTTTTTCGTCTAGAACATTTTTCAGAAAGTTTTAATATAAAAAAGGCTATTTTTAATTCTAATAAATCATAAAAGGAAATGTATTTTTGAAAAAAAATTTGAAATGGGGAGGATACTGTAATATTTCTAACTTGAAAATAAATAATTTTTCCTTTCATATACCGCAAATGATTTTGTTCAGAAAACGCAATTCAAAGTAATTGAATTTTATAGAAAAACAATGATGACTCCATCATTGTTGGTTAGATACGGGGTTTATCAATTGTGTTACTCCAATAATGTAGGGTAGCTTATTTCGACAATCTCTTTAAGCAAAAAATCTCATAACACTTTTTAAAATTTTAATTTCAATATATTATTGTGATAAATTCAAACAAATATCCCTTTTTTTAATCTTAAAAATGTCTGACATTAATGAATGACCTGACAAAAAGAAAAAGCTGAACACTTCCCTCAAACTCGAATTTTCTAATTTTTATATATTTGCAACGTGATGTTTGAGGACTTTGATATTTAAAAAATCTGCTATATCAAAAATCAAATTGTTTTCAATACCAAGTTACAAAAATAGAGAGATTGTAAAACTAAAGTTTGAGGCAAGTGTTCGAACCCTGTAGAAGACGACCCAGAAGAGTGGGGGAAGGCAGGTGGCCATGAGCCATTACTATTTCCTTTTCCGTGCCACATATTAACTTTTTACTTTTCCGGCAGCCATGAGCCACCACTATTTCCCCTTCCGGGCCACCACATTTGACTCTTCCGGGCAAAACTACTTTTTTGAAATGGTACATTTAGGGCCTTTAAAGTGTGGTTTTAAAAAATCCAGCCGCGTCCCGAAAAAAAACACAACTCAAACCATTTTCTCAATTCTACATAAGATGAATATAAAAAAGAGGTCGTTTTTTATAAGATTTTAGTAGATAAACTAAGTAATTTTTCGTATTGTGGAAACAGAGAAAAATTGTTCAGAGTAGTCTGAAGAATAAGAAAATATTATAATAATCACAATATTTACTTGTCATTATTTACGCGTTACAGATTTTATCAAAAAAAACTAAAGTGTATTTTATGGTGCATCATATTTAATATTCATATTGCTCTCAAAAATAAGCCATTTTTTATGAAAATCAGAATTTAGATTTGCAAAAAAAAAGTTTTGCAGTTTACATTAAGAGGAATCATTCTTTTTTCATACTAACACTTAAATATACAGATTTAAATAAAGATTTTTGCGTGACTCGGCTGGACTTTTGAAAATCAAACTATATAGGCCTTAAATAAACCATTTTAAGGGAGTGACCGGCTATGTGAGGTAGTTGAACTGAGTATGCAGGGTTGTGGAAAACTTCTTTCGGATTCATTTGAGACATATTAAACTTTTTAAAGATCTGTAAATCCAGAGTTTGAGCGCAAATTCGACGTTCAAAATTCCTACTTTGGGAATGGATACGTTTTCAGAATAAAATTTTTTTTAAGTTATTAAATAACGACAACGAAAAAAAAGTAAAAATAATACAGTAATCTAATTAGATGGTTAGGAACATATTTCTCAAAAGAAATTTGTCAATAAATCAATGCTTAAATCGATTATTTCGTTTTCATCATTATATTGAATTTTTTATCTTCTTTGAATTTATTCGCAGATTTCTTTAAATTCTTCAAATGTCGTCTTTTCAATAATAATTCTACAAAATCTGCGAAAATCTTTGTGAATAATGAGAAACCAGAATAATGAGAAACTAGAAACTAATAATTGAACAAGATTACTTATTTTCGATGATAAGATTAATTTTTATTTTCTCAACATGTTCCTATACATGACGTCTGTAGTTTATTGTAGAACTTTTTTACATTTTATGTCGTCGTTATTTAATGATTTAAAAAAACTAGTTCTGAAAACGTATTCACCCCCAAAGTAGGAGTTTTGAACGTCAAATTTGCGCACAAACTCAGGATTTACAGATCTTTAAAAAGTGTAATATGTCTCAAAATGAATCCGAAAGAAGTTTTCCACAACACTGCATACTCAGTTCAACTACCTTACATAGTCGGTAACTCCCTTTAAAAAGTAGTTTTGTCCGGAAGAGTCAACTGTGGTTGCCCGGATTGGGAAATAGTGGTGGCTCAAGGCCGCCAGCATTCTCCCGCTCGCCAGAATACGTTTTTTTCTGATAAAATTCCGTTAACAATCACTTTTCTAGAACAACGCACAGGGATCTAAAGGTTTCAAGCTCTCAGGCAAAAATCTAAGAGAGTTTTGCCAAAAAAAAACTACTGTTAAAAATATACATAGACTAAACAAAAGTATAATCGTGATAGACAAAAATTAAATGAAAGGCCAAGGCGTGGAGAGACCCTAAAGTTGACCCAACCTTAAAATATTTTCATAGCTGTCTGAATATCTCTTTGAACAAGCTCTTTGATGTAGGTATTGGTGTGCTGGGGAACGTGCTGGTGATAATCGTGATCCTGACCTCCAAGTCCATGAGATCTTCAACCAATCTTTTTCTTCTTAATCTCAGGAATACAACAGAAATCAGTTCGTACAGTACATTTACACTTTATACATTGTGCATACTATACCTTACAGTACATGTAAACTGTAGTTAACTGTGTTAAAGTTCACACGCACACCTAGTAAAGCCCGAAATTTAAAAGAGTATCGTTGAAGGAAACTTCCGAGTTTCCTTTTTGGGGTCTTAACATTTGTGTAGATTTTGATTTAGGAGATTCGAAAAAATGGAGAATATGAATAAACTAAATAAAATATTATTCCATCACAAAAATATTGAAATTCACAAAACTGCCTAACCCCATTCGTGAAACCCTGGTTCTAAAACTGGTTTAAACAACGATACCCTGTCTTAAGTTTTTGGCTCTGTGTAATGAAACCCGGTTTTATGAATGGGGTAAAGCAATTTCGTGGATACAATTTTTTAAAATAAAGTTTTTTCTTTAGCTGTACCTTTATTCTTTTTTTAGCTATTTCTCGAATCAAAACCAACACAAATGTATATTATTTTTAAATTTCTGACTCTGAAACCCCAGTTTTTTTTTATTCGCAGAGCCACGTTATACAATGTTAAAAGTTAAGAGAATACACACATACAAACTTCATTCAGTTGATAAAACAAATACGTATTCCTAAGATAGGGTCTGGGTAGAGTTTAAAGTTTTAGCATACAATTAGATACAGGGTTTCCCAAAAATTGAACATTGCCGCATTTAAATTTATTTTTCTTGGGATTCCTAAAAATATAACATAAAAAACAATATCGTCGTCAACTTTAAAATTGCCCACATTTGTAAAACTCAAAAATACACCCTCAGTTATCTTTAAAATATTGAAAAACAAATAAGATTTTTAGGTCTTCATTAAATTCACATGTTTCATGACACACCCTGTGTATGTTTATTTTTAAGCAAATGTCTTTATAATCTTTTCATGAAAATAAAAGATTATTCATCCATAAAGGACTCTTCATCAGTTCTCATTAACCATAACACACACAACTTGGAATCCCACTTAATGGTNGGGGGGGGGGAACGAAAATTCATTATACAATTGAAAGACGATGCTGTAGCCAAATAGGAAATTTTCATTATCATTTTGAATATTTCTTACATTTTACTTACATCTTAACAATTTTTACATTAACATAATAAAACATACATTCATGTATTCCTTTAAACCATTTGAAAAATAGACTTTTCGTGAGGTTAAAACTGTTGTGTTGTTAATCCTGGGATAAACCAGTTTTTATAACTATTAATTACTACTTAACCGGGAGATTTGGTAATATGTTGTATTGTACGGTAATATGTTGTATTGTACGTTAATATGTTGTATTGTACTGTAGTATTGCTGATCTCCTTGTACTGGTAATATGCTGCCCAAACGGTATGATAGAGATGTACATGCGAAGGGTAAGTACAATATTTTATGTACAATTACCAATTACTCTTCTCTTTCTAACAAATTGCTGTCGTTTGTTAGCTGAGAGCTGCTCTTTTTTTAGTGATTTTGTTTCGTACCTTACTTTTATGATTTAGAAGATTTTTCGGGTTTCATTAAAAATGAACTTTGGAAACAATTTTTTTTAACCTATTTTGGCGTTACATCTTTAAAGCGCAATAAAGATAGATATACATTTATATAAACCTTCGGCAAGTGTGTGTCTTTAGTTTTATTTTGTTTGGAAATAAAAGTATTAATTGAAACGTCTGAACTAAAAAGAATAAGCTTTTAAGTTTTTATTTGTTAATTGCAAATGAAAACATTAAAATGTTCAAAATCAACTATGATTTAGAACAATCCAAAGTCCTAACTATATATCTGTTGAAATGATCAAGGTCAAAGTTATGCGGAATCGACTTTGCGATTTTATATTTACATTCAAAAGACAGAAAAACAAACGTGGATTTATAATGTTTTTTCTTATCAATTGCTATTCAGACGAAAACTTATGTTTTAATGCATTCAAGTTTTCAATCTAAATTGAAACTCACTTAAGTTTAATGTGAGCAGCTTTAACATGTCTTTATCTAATGGAATTGTTTCACAACTTCTTGATGGTTAACTTTCTTATTTTGAATAGAAATGATATAATCTGAGCTAAAAACTCAGGGGGCGGGCATAACTCTCCTAATTTTGCCTGGCTAGGTTTATACTGTTCAGTGAATTTTGTCGAAAAATGTTTCCTTATGACTGAGTTGGTATCATAGAGTACAGTGGTTTTAATCTTAAGTACATCTATTTGTACGGTATTGTGTGGACAGTTAATTTTAATATTTTTCAACAATGAGATATTGTAGTGTCAAAAATTTTGTAAACAATGATGTTTCGGGTTCAGAAGTTTTTCATAACATACGAAAAGAGTGGATAGAACAAGTTATCTGGAAGACAAAACACCCAATTTTTCATTTATGTAAAATAAATATTTTAACAGTTTTCAGTTCTTCAATAACTTTAAAATTAAGTCTAACCTAATTTAGATCTATTATTAGTTCAGAATTGCTTTCATTCTAAAAGTCAGAAACCTATATTCCTAAGAGTTAATGCACAATGTAGATTTAAGAAGTAAAGAATTTGATAAGAAACAAGATGTTATTAAGGAGAAGGATTTTATTTTTTTCTCTATTTGTCATGTCTCATTTTTATACAAATATCATATGGGCTTGTTTTCTTTGCTTGAATATCGTAGGCTTCACTTTCAAACAATAATGTCTTAAAACACTGATCTACGAATTATGATCCCCCCGGGTAGAATTTCGGATCGGGTCATTGTGTACAGTGGCTGTACAACAAAAAGTTTAAAATTCCAGATGCCCCCTCTATTACTAATATCTCGATGTAAAAACTTTAGAATTGGATACCATACCCTTAAATCCTGAACGACTAATCTGAATATCCATTTCGGAAACTTTTAATTTTCTTATTAATCTGCTCTAGTTGGATATTACATTATCCACTACATGTAAAACAGATACGTTTGATTACTAATACAGGTTAAAATGCTATATCGATTGGACTAATATCCGATTGACCTAAAGTCAGCTGTTCACAAGCTGGCTTTTAGTGCATTTAAATAAACATAAATTTAATCATGTTAATATGATCTTATAAAAAAAAAACATGTTTTATCATAATTCAGGACTATAGTCCTTTTATACTTTAGTTTTGATTAACATTAATCCAAAACTTTCGTTCGTTCAATCGATCATTAGTCCAATTTATATGACACCACAAATGCGGGAAAATGAAAAACCGGTTTAGGTTCTATTTTTATCTATATTCTAGAAACTAACCTTATACAAAGGGAACTTGACAGAGTGCTTATATGTTTTGCGAGGGGGGAGGGAGGGGGAGGGGGGGGATGCTGCAAACTTTTCTTTTAATCTATTAGTTTCTCCCCTTCTGTCCTCATTTAATTCAATCCAACTACACCCTCTCTTAATTATCTACAAGACTGGTAAATAAGCTTTAGTTTTTAATCTAAACTTAAAATTCTTTTTGAAAAGGAACTGAGTTTTTGCCACAAACTCAAATATTTTTATCCCTATATCTTGGAAACCAAATTTCATAGATCTTAGATATTTCAAACTATTAATTCTGTTAGATTAAATAATCTAAGTTTTATACCCACTGGTTGCAGAGATATAGAAATTAGAAAATTTGAGGTGGTGGCAAAAACTTAATTCCTTTTCACTACTTTTAAAATAAATTTTATCATTTTCATCTGTATTCATAATATTCATACATTCTTTGTCTTTCAAAACATTTTCATGATGTATAATAGGATTCTACTGCCTTTATGCCTGCTCATCTTGATAAAATCTTTTAATTCTTCTATTCCTCTCTTTGTCTAAACCATAATACCCCCCCCCCTCCCTCTACATCCCTTGTACATTGTACAACCCCTTCAAACCCCTTAAACCCTCTTTCCTCAATAATCTATCATGTCCCCCCTTCTATACAATATACACAGCTTTGCATATGGATCTGAATAAAAGTCCAATGATAGAATATAATAACATTGTATTATATAATATGTATAATATATAGGGCTGGGTATGCTACCTCGTTTTTTTCATTCCGTTTTTTTGAAGATAAGTCAATGTAACGCACAGGTTCATTTTGTTAACGTTCGTTTTAAAAATTTCGCTTTCTTTTTAAAAACGTTGTCCATCTTCCAGTTATTAAAGGATTTTTTGCCTTGAATAAACAACTTTTTCCATTCGTTTAACTTTTTCTCTCTAATATGCTGAAATTGTTGACTGTTCTTTCCGTTCGTTAACAAATTTTCCGTTAATTTTCATAATATTCTGTTCGTTGACGGAACTTTAGCCAGCCCTAAATGAATAAATAGAGGACGGAAGGGAAGGAAATAAACATTAACTGCAACTAATAACTGCAAGGGATCAGGAGAGAGAGGGGGGGGGGGAGGGATCAGGAGAGGGGTGCGGGAAGGCTGAGAAGGGTTGTACGACCTTCCATTTAATCCACAAATCAATTATTCCATGCAAAAGTGAAAGAAAGGAAATGAGCAATTTGTTCCTTTTACAATTTTTCTTTACCATCACTAATTACGAGCCCCCCTCCCGTATACTATAGAAGGATAGATTTAGGATAATTATCTACAAAAATCCATTTCAAGCTTGATTTGACCATAGGAACATTGATTTATTGTATATTTAACTTAAATCTAATGTTTAGCATAAATTTTTTAACATTTTTTTTGAAAAAAAAACTTTACTAAAAACAAATATTTTTTTATTTTATTTGTGGAAATTGTAAAAAGTTCACTTCAACGTTATAGTTTTTATTTTTCCAATTCGTTCGAAACAACATACATAAATTGAATTTAATATATAAAAATAAAAATAACAGCATTTTTCTAAATAAACTGTAATAAAGTTTTAAAAGTAAAAACATTATTTAAGCATTATCAAATATTTGCTATGAGGCAGTTGATATATTTATTACTGGGTTACCTGCCAGCTTCATGAGTCTGGAAAACCATGAATCTGTTTAAAAGTGTGGAGTTGGGGTGGGAATTGGACAGAAATGTAATTAACCTACATTCAGCATCTTATATTAAATAAAGAACACCCACTTTACTTTTTAGAGGCTTTATTGACACAGGTCGCAGCAACTTTATTAAAGAGATTTAATGGTATAAAATAGATTTTGGAAATTACTTTATTTAATTCATTTTATGAAACAGTCCCTCTATTAGCTATTTAATAACAATTACTTTATTTATAGATTTAAAGAAACAATTCAGATAATGTTCTCTTGTATAAACCTGCCCGAAACAATCAGATATCGTTCTCTAGGATTAAACTGCCCGAAACAATCAGATGGATCAAACGAAAAGAATACATCGTTAAAACTAACATTATCATTAAATTTGAATTTAATATAAGAGAAGTGCAGTTTTGAAACCGGTTTAAAATTTTTTATCTTCATTGTCTACGAATTCATAGGTTTAAGTTTTAGTAAGAATATTTTATGACAAGTAAATTCTCTATAAATAAGAACTATAAATAAGATTGGAAAGAGTTATTTCAGGCTATGTGTCAAAGTAATGCCAAACACAGTTAATGTGACCAGGGGCGTATTCAGGAATTTGTCCATGGGGGGCTTAAATTTTTTTCTCTTTCCGGGCGGGGGCTCAGCAGCCTTGGGGCCTGAAAACCCCCTGAAATAAAAAATTTCACCACTGATCCAGGAGGGCTATGAACCCAGAGCCCCCCCCCTGAATACGTCTCTGGATGTGACCACAATTGCATTTATCCCTTTACAGATAAATGGTAAAGGAACTTCTTAAACCAGTGGATTCTATTTTTAATTTGTTTAATATTCTCCAGCTAAAAGATTACAAAGGAAATGAGTTTTTGCCACAAACTCAAATTTTCGAATCCCTTTATCTTTGAACCTGGTGTTGTAAACCTTTGAAATTTCAAACTAATGCTCATTGATCTCACATAATTCATATTTTGAAATATCAAAGGTCTACGACATTAGGTTGTAAAGATATAGGGATTATAAAATCAAAGTTTGTTGCAAAGATAGAGAACAAAGAAAAACATATAATTTAGGGAACATTAAAATATTTTAAAGAAATATTGGCAATTATCGGTTTCTTCAACATTATCAAAATACATGAACAATCCCTTTAATACATTTATTTTAAACTTCTTCCTCGTACAAGGAGAAGCAGAAAATATTAGAATATGCAGAGGCGCAACTAGTTTGGTTTTCTTATTCCTGTGATACTGATTTTCGCCATTCTTTCTTTCTTTTCATTCTGCAGGGGGGAGGCGCCCCCCTCTCAGGTGCTAGGGGAGGGCGCGCGCCCGGCCGCCCCACCTAGTTGCGCCTCTGAGAATATGAAGACGACATTTAACCAAACTATGATTAAGTGTATTAAATAGTTATACTATAAAAGCTTAGAAATCCCTTATCAAGAATAATAGCCCTGTTTACACCACGAAATTGCTGTGTCTCATTTGGAATATTTATAATCATAAGGTAATTCTAAAAGTCGTCTTACTTCTCACTGTATCCTTCTTTTCTAGGATATCTGGTTGATGGGGAAGGCGATGTGTCATTTAGGAAAACATCACAAATATATATCTACACTTTTGAAAAAATACTGCCACAAAATGGAACTCTTTCAGTTCATATTTAAAACATATTTGTTTTTACAGATGTTGAGTCTAAAACAAACCACTGATAATAAATATAAATCGTATTTAAGATAAACAATCATAGTAAAGTGGATTTTGTATTACTTTTTACCTCTGAAATCAAAAACTTAATTTCCTAAGTTTTTGTCTGTTTTAAAAATATTTTTGCAATCTTTTTATCTTGAGAATTTTTAGTATTTTTTTTAATGTGTCATAGAGTAATTGAGTCTTTTCCACAAACTCAAATTTTCTAATATCAAAATCGTTGCAGGCTGATGGTGGAAACCTTTGTTATTTCAAACTTTGATATTTGACTCATGAATTCCATTATTCAAAATATTCGTATATGCATTGCATCACTTTAAAGATAATAATCTCCAATATTACTTGATTTATTTTGTCTTTGTGTCCCCAAATTCCGGGACTATGTCGGGGACATTTTTTCCAACTAATTCTCAGAAAAGTTTCCACAAAACAAAGCGTTTAAATTAGCTATCTTTGAAAGTATTGATTTATGCATATTTAACTGACTAGGGAATTCAGTGAAAAACATTCCTGTAAATAACTCTAAATATCCATTAAATATGCTTTCTATTTATAGATAAACATTTTCAATTTTCTATTTTCACACAAAAATTCATCATTCTCACTTAATCTGGGTCTGGATTTGATCAATTTGAGCTATGTCTAGAAACGGTTCAACCATGTTTCTTTACTCTGGGTTTGGATTTGATCAATTTGAACTAGGTCTAGAAACGGTTCAACAATGTTTCTTTAATCTGGGTCTGGATTTGATCAATTTGAGCTAGGTTTAGAAACGGTTCAACCATGTTTGTTTTATCTGGGACTGGATTTGATAAATTTGAGCTAGATCTAGAAATGGTTCAACCATGTTTCTTTAATCTGGGTCTGGATTTGAAAAATTTGAGCTAGGTCTAGAAACGGTTCAACCATGTTTGTTTTATCTGGGACTGGATTTGATAAATTTGAGCTAAATCTAGAAACGGTTCAACCATGTTTCTTTAATCTGTGTCTGGATTTGATAAATTTGAGCTAGGTCTAGAAACAGTTCAACCATGTTTGTTTTATCTGGGTCTGGATTTGATCAATTTGAGCTAGGTCTAGAAACGGTTCAACCATGTATCTTTAATCTGGGTTTGGATTTGATAAATTTGAGCCAAATCTAGAAATGGTTCAACCATGTTTCTTTAATCTGGGTCTGGATTTGATAAATTTGAGCTAGGTCTAGAAACTGTTCAACCATGTTTGTTTTATCTGGGACTGGATTTGACCAATTTGAGTTAGGTCTAGAAACGGTTCAACCATGTTTCTTTAATCTGGGTCTGGATTTGATCAATTTGAGCTAGGTCTAGAAACGGTTCAACCATGTTTGTTTTATCTGTGACTGGATTTGATAAATTTGAGCTAAATCTAGAAACGGTTCAACCATGTTTCTTTAATCTGGGTCTGGATTTGATAAATTTGAGCTAGGTCTAGAAACGGTTCAACGACGTCAATTGTAGTTGAATCGGCGGTAGTCAGTTCAGAGACATAACTCAAATTCATGAAATTCAGCCACTTTCTGTCTAAATAAAGTGTAAGAAAGGTAGGGAAGGGTAGGGGTGGGCCAAAAGAGAAAGGAAAAAATATAATATGTGAGTTTATTTTTAGTTCCATTTATCGAACTGGTTGTATCCCATACATCAGTCCTAACTATACTCGCAATTACGGTAGAAAGGTAAATATATTTTATATGCAATAGAATTTTTGTAAGGTTTAAAAAAAGATGGACGTACTTTATTAAGTTCTATTTCTGCAAATTTAATTAGAAATATTACAAAATTTATAAAAAATGTATTTTGTTTAATGAAGCATTTAATTGATATTTTAATAGAACTCATTATTATAATTTGTAAATATAGGTACTATGCTATCTGTTTACCATTGCAAGCTGGGATGATCTGGACAAAAAGTAAAGCAGGTTTAGTCTGTCTTGTATCCTGGATCCTTTCCATCCTACTCACTTCTCCAGGTAGTGCTTTCCATCCTACTCATTTCTCCAGGTATTAATTTACATCCTACTTACTTCTCCAGGTAGTGCTTTACATCCTACTCACTTCTCCAGGTAGTACTTTACATCCTACTCACTTCTCCAGGTAGAACTTTATATCCTACTCATTTCTCCAGGTAGTACTTTACATCCTACTCATTTCTCCAGGTAGTACTTTACATCCTACTCATTTCTCCAGGTAGTACTTTACATCCTACTCACTTCTCCGGGTAGTACTTTATATCCTACTCATTTCTCCAGGTAGTACTTTACATCCTACTCACTTCTCCAGGTAGTACTTTACATCCTACTCACTTCTCCGGGTAGTACTTTATATCCTACTCATTTCTCCAGGTAGTACTTTACATCCTACTCACTTCTCCAGGTAGTACTTTATATCCTACTCATTTCTCCAGGTAGTACTTTACACCCTACTCACTTCTCCAGGTAGTAATTTACATCCTACTTACTTCTCCAGGTAGTGCTTTACATCTTACTTACTTCTCCAGGTAATACTTTACATCCTACTTACTTCTCCTGGTAGTACTTTACATCCTACTCACTTCTCCAGGTAGTACTTTACATCCTACTCATTTCTCCAGGTAGTACTTTACATCCTACTCACTTCTCCAGGTAGTACTTTACACCCTACTCACTATTCCAGGTAGTACTTTACATCCTACTCACCTCTCTAGGTAGTTTAAGTACTTTCCATCCAATAATATTATCAACTATAATTGTATATTTAGTACTAGCAATGGCAACCTACAATACATTAACTCCTCCAATATATACAATATTATCAACTATAATTGTATATTTAGTAAACTAGCAATGGCAACCTACAATACATCAACTCCTCCAATATATACAATATTATCAACTATAATTGTATATTTAGTAAACTAGCAATGGCAACCTACAATACATCAACTCCTCCAATATATACAATATTATCAACTATAATTGTATATTTAGTTCTAGCAATGGCAACCTACAATACATCAACTCCTCCAATATATACAATATTATCAACTATAATTGTATATTTAGTACTAGCAATGGCAACCTACAATACATCAACCCCTCCGACCTGTACAACTGATGTTGATGCTCCCTGGACTAAAGTTTACTTCATGACAATTATCAGGTTTCAAAATGAATAAATTAACGAAGAAAAAGAAAAAAAGCACGACAAAATATACTGAAATAAGATATTTTAATTTTGTTTAGTTGCGGATTTCCAACATTTTGGAGAACAAAATCTTATAAACATTTTTACTTTCAGTTTATTCTTCTGGTTTCCCCTGGTAATATTACTGATCTTGTATACTACTATTGCTAGAAAACTGACAGCGAAGGGTCCTCCAAATAAACATATGGGTAGGTTGGAAGTAATACTGATAGGGATGCCAATGTAAAGTAATTTTAGCTGAAGAATAATATCAACGATTATCAAAATTTGTTAATTCCTATTTAATTTGTCCACATTTTATTTTGATTAAGTAGAGTTAAGTGAATCGTTTAGAACACGTTTGAATGTTTGTTGAGTGTTAATTGCTATTATGCTTGCCAATTCCCATATGTCTAATAATTTCTAATTAACCATTTCAATATTTATTCTTCTAAAAAATTGCTAGTTGAGTGTTAATTTCTATTATGCTGGCCAATTCCCATATGTCTAATAATTTCTAATTAAACATTTCAATATTTATTCTTCTAAAAAAATTGGCCAAGGATGATGATGGATGGCATCAATGGAAATAAAAATGTTTTAAAAGATAATTGTATTTTGTCATTTTGACAATGGTTTCTACATCATCGAAATCATTTCTTGTCAGCCCTCTTCTCACTATGCGTGGAAGGATTAATGTGCTGCCAGATTACATCTCCTGGTAGTTCAATAAAAAACCCTACAACACCAAAATTTCGCAATAGAACAATTCCGAGATTTGATCGTAACAACTCGATGATGTTTAGTGAGGAAGGGAAGGCAAAAGTTTTCGTTTTTCCAGCCCGATCTTTGATTGTAAAAAAAAACATATTTTGCAAATGTTAAATTATCGAATTAGTCCCGTTTTAAGTAGAAATTGACGATTATAAATGGAAGATCATTCCCGGAAGACTGGTTGTGGGAGGTTCAGAAGCCCAGCTATGGGGACGGTAAAATGAGGTTCGGAAGCTGTCCTGGGGAGGTTGCCTACCCTCCCTTGTTCTGGGGACAAAAAATCTCCTTAAAAAATGGTTCCCATTTTCCTAATCGATACAGCGATTTTTCCGAATATTCCGATTAATCTGGTTTAGGTTCTAGTTCTGCTGAGAAAGACATGAAAGCAGCAGAACGAGCAGCTCTAACACGAGGCAGGAAGCAGATCGTTCTTATGCTTGGAACAGTTGTTACATTCTTCTTTGCTTGCCTGCTGCCATTCAAGGTTAGAGGAGAAACTGTTTAATGATGCTATTCATTCGCCACATTTTTTAGAAATTTTTATTTTATCAAAATTTGTAAACTGAGATTTATTCACGAAACTCAATTTTTGGCTGTGGCTCACGGGTCAGTAGCCATAATCAATAAGTTAATTCAAAACACCTGCGCCATATTTAATTGTTTTGTTCAGACGAAGTTGGGACTAAAGGAATTAAGCTTTCTAATCCATATATCTTTGCAACCTGATGGCGTAAATTTTTGATATTTCAAACTTAAATTATTTGATATAAAATTAATCATAGTTTGAAATATCAAGGTCTACAGCATTGGGTTTCAATAATATATGGATTAGAAAAGCAGAGTTAGTTTGTAACAAAGACTCAACTCCTTTAATGGACAGAGATAAAAGAGAGTTGAACTACGTGGTTATAGTTGAACCAATTATCTTGCGAACCGGCTCAGTTCCAAGAGAAATGATTTTACATAGTTTGCGCAGATCAACTACTCCGCACTGTTCATCAAATCCTATAAAATTCAGTCTTTTAATTAACCCCTGAAGACGGGGGAGGGGGGAAGGGTGAAATTCTTCATTTATGAACAAAAAAAAACCATTAATTTGCTAAATGAATAGTTAATGTTTGTGGTTGGTGAATACTGATACAGTTTAAAACTTGAATATCGATTTTGATTAAACAGTAAAAAGTAAAAAGTCCTTGATAACAAATCTTAAATATTCTGTTGTAATTAAAGACACAGATCTCAAAACAGATGACAGTTTCTGTATCAACATTTGGGGTTACATAGCATTAAACATTTTGTACATTAAAATTTTTTTTTGATAATTAAATGAAAGTCTAATTGCAATGAGATTAGAGCCTCTCTAAATACCCAATATTCTAGAAAAATATGAGATGACCAAATATTTTTGTACTTTAAAAGTACATTTCGTATCCTGTTTCATACTTAATTTTTTGCATTCACTCTAATATAATCAAGGGATAAACATAAAGGTTTTAGATTTAAACTAAAGTAAGAATCTATTAGAGTATTAGACTAAGTAGGATTATAAAGTATTATATATCATTACAAAACCACAATAGGCGGGATTATTAACTCTAATTTGATTTTAGGTTTTAACCATGTGGATTGTAGTTTCTCCTGTCGAAGTATTCGATGTTATAGGAATACCATCAGACTCGTTTTTAATTATTAGAATAAGAAAATATTTAAAATCATTCTTTTCTTGCTTTTCTTTTACATACTTAATAGGTACTGAGTGATTAATTGGTAATCAATTGCAAACAGCTAATTAAGACTCTTAATTACCATTTTTTTATTTTCTTTAATGATCACTGGAAAAACGTCTGGTCGATGTATAGACAGTGAGGTGTACTTCAACCTTCTCTACTTCTCCAGGTTGATGTTCTACATCAACTCAGCAATCAATCCGATCCTGTACAACACCATGTCATCCAGGTACAGCAGGAACACTAGGTACTCCAGGTACAGCAAGAACACTAGGTACTCCAGGTACAGCAAGAACACTAGGTACTCCAGGTACAGCAAGACCACTAGGTACTGCAGGTACAGCAGGAACACTAGGTACTCCAGGTACTGCAGGTACACTAGGTACTCCAGGTTGATGTTCTACATCAATTCAGCCATCAATCTGATCCTTTACAACACCATGTCATCCAGGTACAAGCAAGAACACTAGGTTCTCCAGGTACAGCAGGAACACTAGGTTCTCCAGGTACAGCAAGAACACTAGGTTCTCCAGGTACAGCAAGAACACTAGGTTCTCCAGGTACAGCAGGAACACTAGGTTCTCCAGGTACAGCAGGTACACTAGGTACTCCAGGTACAGCAGGAACACTAGGTTCTCCAGGTACAGCAGGAACACTAGGTACTCCATGTACTGCAGGAACACTAGGTACTGCAGGTACACTAGGTACTCCATGTATTGCAGGAACGCTAGGTACTCCAGGTACTGCAGGTACAATAGGTACTCCAGGTACTGCAGGAACACTATGTACTCCAGGTACTGCAGGTACAATAGGTACTCCAGGTACTGCAGGAACACTATGTACTCCAGGTACTGCAGGCACTAGGTACTCCAGGTACTGCAGGTACACTAGGTACTCCAGGTACTGCAGGAACACTATGTACTCCAGGTACTGCAGGTACAATAGGTACTCCAGGTACTGCAGGAACACTATGTACTCCAGGTACTGCAGGAACACTAGGTACTCCAGGTACTGCAGGTACACTAGGTACTCCAGGTACTGCAGGAACACTAGGTACTCCAGGTACTGCAGGCACATTAGGTACTGCTGGTGCACTAGGTATTCTAAGTAAACCAGGTACACCAGGAACACTAGGTACTCCAGGTTCACTAGGCACACTATGCACTCCACGTACACTAGGCACACTATGTACTCTAGATACACCAGGAATACTACGTACTCCAGGTACACAAGGATTAACTTTACACGTGGCTTATACCAAGAAATGTTCTATCTTGATTATTATGAATTGACTGCATAATTAAGCTAAATATTAACTATTATCCTATGTTTCCATGTTTAGATTCCGTGAAAGGTTCCGGCGTGTGTTTGGGTGTGGACGGGTGGCGGGGAAAGCAAGGTAAAAATATTATTTTTTTATTAGTTTACTAGCATAGTCAGCATTAATAGAAATAAAAATGTTCCGGTAAATAAAATTAAGATTATTTATATACTGTACTGTTATTTTGTATAATTAATAACATGTGTCTTAAAATTTTAATGAAATGGCGATTCAAAAGAATTAGAATTATTACAAAAAATATTTTGATATTAAAATTGTTAATCTATTTAATCAAATGGCAAAGTTGATAATCCTTTTTTATGAAGAGGTTAAGATGACATAACCGTTAATTAAAATATTAAGATGACATAACCGTTAATTAAAATATTAAGATGACATAACCGTTAATTAAAATATTAAGATGACATAACCGTTAATTAAAATATTAAGATGACATAACCGTTAATTAAAATATTAAGATGACATAACCGTTAATTAAAATATTAAGATGACATAACCGTTAATTAAAATATTAAGATGACATAACCGTTAATTAAAATATTAAGATGACATAACCGTTAATTAAAATATTAAGATGACATAACCGTTAATTAAAATATTAAGATAAAAAACTGTTAATTAAAAAGCAAAGATAACATAACCGTTGAAAAAAGGCTAAGATGACGAAACATTTGAATAAAAGGCGAAGATGACAAAAAACCTTTGAATAAAAGGCGAAGATGACAAAAAACCTCTGAAAAAAGGCTAAGATGATAAAAAACCTTTGAATAAAAGGCTAAGATTACATAACTGTTGAAAAAAGGCGAAGATGACGAAACCTTTGAATAAAAGGCGAAGATGACAAAAAACCTTTGAATAAAAGGCGAAGATGACAAAAAACCTCTGAAAAAAGGCTAAGATGATAAAAAACCTTTGAATAAAAGGCTAAGATTACATAACTGTTGAAAAAAGGCGAAGATGACGAAACCTTTGAATACAAGCTAAGATGACAAAACTTTGAATAAAAGACTAAGATGATATAACCGATAAAAAAGGCTAAGATGACAAAAAACCTTTGAAAAAAAGGCTAAGATGACAAAACCTTTGAATAAATGGCTGAGATGACAAAAAGGTTGAAAAAAACTAAGATTACAAAACCTTGAAAAAATGGTTAGATGACAAAACCTTTAAATAAAAGATTAAGAAGACAATTCCTTTAATCAACGGCAGAATTTGGCGTCCCTTTAAGATATAATAATCATGAATTTTATGGTAAGACTGTGGGCTTATGGCGGAACCCAACAGTCTGGTAGTACAACAGCTTTAACTTCCTCCTCCAGGTACAGTGGGACTCATAAAACTAGGGTATAGAAAGATGAATATTTAATTTAATATATATATTTGATGTTGTTCTTAACCCTATCTCTGCTGGGGTACTTGAAAACCAGGATACGCTGGGGGGGGGGTCAATTTGACCCCCCCCTCTAAATCCCATGTTTGATGTCCAAAAATGACAAATGATACATCATTAGAAAGCTCTTGTGCACTACTTTTAGAATCTGCAAAAAAATTTGCAAATTTGTAAAAATTGAATTTTTTATCGCAAAATCCAGTTATATAGTAAAAATGTGTGCCAAAAAAAATTTGTCAAAAAAATGAAAAATTATACATTTTTGAAAAGCCCTTGACCATGCCATTTCAAATATGCAAAAATTTTTGCAAAATTTTAAATAACATGATTTTTAATCAAGAAAAACTAAAAATGTGCAAATTTCCTTTGACAGGTTGTTTGAAAAAAATTTGCAATTTTTTTTTCGCAAAACTTGTGCAATTTGTTTCCTTTTGTCAAAAGCTTTCCAAAAAGCTAAATTTTATCAAAATCTGACAAGTGAAAGTGGGTCAAAACAAAGATTTAGTTTGTTACAGGAAAAAGCAGTCATTCAGGCAGTGTGCCTGAGGACTCAGGCAGTTAGTATTAAAGCCCTGTTTTAGGCCTAAAGGGAGGGCTATGGGTATGTAAGAAAAGTCAGAAAATTTCAACAGCCTCAGACCAATACTTTTTGAGTTATGTAAAAAAAAAAACTACAGGGGGGGGGCAAATTGACCCCCCCCCCCCAGCGGGAATAGGGTTAAGAAATTGGTTTTTACAAGTAGCTTGTGTTTATTGGTGTGTTGCAGGTTTATTGAACTATTGAAAATTATAACTTTAGTCTAGTCTTTTTCACAGTTTTATGTGTCCTATTCTGTATTGTAGTTGTTTAAAATAATGATCAGTTTTAAAATTAGCTTATTTTAAATATTGAATATTTGGAACTATAGGCATTACAACTAAGCATCATTTTTTGGAGGCTTTGTCTTTAAACATTTAAACATTAAACAAGAATCTTGAGGATGATTTAATTTTCAGATTGTATGCTCTACAGACAGCTCTATAAATTGCTTATTAAATATACTATGTTATATCAGAGTAAAACGTTTTAGAAAATAATAAGCATCTCAGATTATAATAGAGCTTTTTAAAAATAAAACAATTCTAAATATTTAAAAACAAACCAAACCCTGATGCCCCATTTTGGGGATAAATCGCTAAAACGTACTTTGCTAGTTTTAAAGATAACATGTCGCTGCCCAATTAAATCGAATGAATTAAGAAAAAATTTCTTATGAAAAGTTACTCAACACTAGACTAAGATAACTAAAGCATTTTGATTAATTTCATTTAGAAATAGATTAATGCACCGAGATTATTATTAAGATAAATTTTATCCAAGGGTTTATAAAAAATTAGTATTAATATCTATCATAATCTTTTAATTTTCAATCTCTAGGCAATCCCGAAACGAGAAGCTGTTAAGTAATTCGAGCAACAAAATCAGGCAAATATTCATTATTACATTTTTTCTTTGAATCCATGATTTTGTTAAAAATATAAATCATATTATTAATCATATTATTATTTTTATTATATTATTATTGTAAATTGTCCAAACTGGCAAAAAAAGGGTTTACTCTCACAGGTAGAAAAACTCGGGTTTGGAAATTAATTTCGATATATTTTATATCCTCTTCAGTCCTACAGAAAATGACCAAAATTATTACTTGGATCTTAAGATGGGGAGGGGGGGGGCAATTTCAACCCCCACCCCCTTATTTGCTAAATTAGTCTGAAATAGAATAGGAAATAAATTGTTTTGTTCCCTATTCCCCACAAGGCAAGAAATCTGCTCAGTTTTAATGTTTCAACATTTTTTACCGAGTTAAAAATGGACAGCGGAATGCGAGGAGTCAAATACGTCTTTATAAATAGTTTTCAAACTAATATTTATTATTATTGGGTATTGTGTTTCATTTTCTAGCTGGACAGTACAGCAAACTGGAAGGTCAACTTGTACCTGTCTTTATAAATATTACATATTACATATATACAGGCTTGAGATAACTCTACTCTGTGGAAATATAATATAATCAATTAACAAAGTTAAATGTACTGCAGCTTCTGGGAGAAATGTATGCAAAACACAGTATTAGTTTGTTTACATTCCTCCCGGAAGAAACTACGGTACATTTTGTTAAAGTTCTGGCTTGGAGTATATTTTACTATTAACTAATATTGTACACTGTAACAGACGGGATCTGGGAAAAGAATTGAGCCCCAAGCTTCAGAACAATCACCTGGGTCCAGGGCGAATCCAACATGGCGGACTAGATATTCAAAGGAAAACCAAGAATGGTACGGATGGAAGTAGAACAGCAGATCTTCTTGAGAAACGATTAGAATATTTAGGAAAGGATTGAATATAATTAACGATTGGACGAGAAATATCAAACATTAATAACTATTGGTTTAGAACTCGACTCTTTTTATATAAAGTTTTTTTTATAATAAAAATAAACGACAAATGAAAGTTTACAATTTAACAACATAACTTTCAAGAACATTATTCTCATTACCATGGTTTAAAAAGTAGATTTTAGTTGAAAACTAATTATTTTTAACGTTATAACATTAAAATAAACTTTGAGTTTTACAAAAATATTTTAAACATCTGAAAACAGATTTTAGTTAAAAACAGATTTAATCTTGTTATTTCAAGATACTGAGTGTTCACTTAAGGTTCAAGTTGAACGCTTGAGTGAGATCTCCTGTTCTAACAGCAGTAGCTGTTGTTGTGAAAACAGCAGTTGTGATCATACCACGTGTTCTTCTGGAAGACCAGCCGATTCTAAACTTATCAAAGGAACACAGACTATTTATGAATCACGGAATCTACAGGCGTATAAACCTCAGAAAAGGATTATTTTTGATAACAATTGCCATATTTTGTATGGCTAAATCATAATTGTCACGTTTTCCTGGGGCCAAACCTTTACCCCCCCCCCCCTCCATAGAATGCGTTCCTGGTTTTTTTGCTGGAACAAACTAATTTATTGTCTGCGTTTTTGCCAGGCAAAGAAACAGCAACTGTTCACAGAAATAACGCAGCTGACACTTCAACAGCTGACATCGAAGCAGGTGACTGGAGATCAGCTGATGTCCGATCAACTCCAAAGCTTGGAGACATCAAGATCAGCAGCTTGGATCTGGACGCTTTAAGAGATCTTGATCGGGATAGTTGGAAGCCAAGGCAGAAGGTTAGATCCAGATCAGACGGATCGCAGACTAATCATCAACAAGGCAATCAATCAATCAATTAAACGATCAAATATGTAATAAATCAAGTAACCTGCACTTTAAGTCAAACGGTTAGTAATATTGCATTATGTAAATTTAATTACATGGTTTATTTTTCTGATTGACCTAATTTGTTTAAGGTACAAAGTAAAAATGTGGAGGTATGATGAATTGAAGAATAATGTGGATGTTTAATTGAAAATTATGAATTGAAAATCATTCTTGTTTTTCTAGGTTTTGGGTCAATTAATTCCTTTCATGTTTGTTTGCTCCCAACCCCCACCCCCCTTTACCCCCTTCACGGTCCATCGGTATAATCCTGGTATAATTTAGCTTCTAGTAGTCTAGAAAACAATTCTCAAGATGAAGGAAAGAAAAAGAATTAAGAATTGTACTTTTAGACAACAACTTGAATAAAATAAAATATCCCATTGTTTCATCACAGACACAAGTTCACAGCTTAATCAAAAATTTATAATATTTAATAGACATATGTGTGCCCCGCCCTCTTTTTAAAAATAAAGGTATACGAGCCAAGGTATAGATGTACACTGCATTTTTATTTCAAGCTAATTTAGAATATTTTGGATTTTTGCAAAGCACCTGCCCCCTAGCTACAGGTCGATTTTTCAATTATTAAAGAAATGAAAAGAAAGACAGAAGTCCATGCAAAGCAAATTCTAAATGATAAAGTCTGTTTGTGCTATATATATATATATAAAACAACCTAAAAAAAACACAGATAAAATTAAGAAAAATTGTGTGACAAATGTGTTACAAATGAGAACAAATGTGTTACAAATGAGAACAAATGTGTTACAAATGTGTTACAAATGTGTTACAAATGTGTTACAAATGTGTTACAAATGTGTTACAAATGTGTTACAAATGTGTTACAAATGTGTTACAAATGTGTTACAAATGAGAACAAATGTGTTACAAATGTGTTACAAATGTGTTACAAATGTGTTACAAATGAGAACACAAATGAGATCAAAACAAGAGAAACGAACAGTTAACAGACATAACGAACATGCATATATCAAAGTAGTAACAGACACACGAACAACACAGACAACAAGGCCTGATAAACAGACAGTGTAAAGATGCATGAGACAGGGGGAATCCTGAAAATTCTTTTACGAAAACTTTTCAAGGATGGATAAATATGACAGTTGAAGTAGATAGATAGTTAGATAGATATATAGGTAGATAAATATATAGATAGTTGGATAGATATATAGGTTGATAAATAGATAGATAGTTGGACATATATATAGGTAGATAAATAGATAGATAGTTAGATAGATATATAGGTAGATAAATAGATAGATAGTTGGATAGATATATAGGTAGATAGTTGCATAGATATATAGGTAGATAAATAGATAGATAGTTGGATAGATATATAGGTAGATAAATAGATAGATAGTTAGATAAATATATAGGTACATAAATAGATAGATAGTTGGATAGATATATAGGTAGATAAATAGATAGATAGATAGATTGATATATAGGTAGATAAATGGATAGATTGTTGGATAGATATATTGGTAGATAAATAGATAGATAGTTGGATAGATATATAGGTAGATACATCGATAGATAGTTGCATAGATATATAGGTAGATAAGTAGATATATAGGTAGATAAGTAGATAGATAGTTGCATATATATATATAGGTAGATAAGTAGATATATAGGTAGTTAAGTACATATATAGGTAGATAAGTAGATATATAGGTAGATAAGTAGATAGATAGGTAGTTAAGTACATATATAGGTAGATATGTAGATATATAGGTAGATAAGTAGATAGATAGTTGCATATATATATAGGTAGATAAGTAGATATATAGGTAGTTAAGTACATATATAGGTAGATAAGTAGATATATAGGCAGGTAAGTAGAAATATAGTTAGATAGACATATAGGGGTAGATAAGTGAACAGATGTTTAGATAAATATACAGGTAGATAAGTGAAGAGATAGTTAGATGTTTATAGAGTTAGATAGGAAAACAGATAGTTTGACAAACAATCCCTTTAATAGAGGTAGAAATTTTTAGACGAATAATCTCTTAACAGAGGTAGAATAGTTAAACAACCAATTCCTTTAACAGAAGTAGAATTGTTAGACAAACAATCCCTATAACAGAGGTAGAGTAGCTAGACGAACAATCCCCTTAACAGAGGTAGAGTAGCTAGACGAATAATCACTTTAACAGAGGTAGAGTGGCTAGACGAATAATCACTTTAACAGAGTTAGAGTGGCTATTAGACGAATAATAACTTTAACAGAGGTAGAGTGGCTAGACGAATAATCTCTTTAACAGAGGTAGAGTAACTAGACGAATAATCTCTTCAACAAAGGTAGAGTGGCTAGACGAATAATAACTTTAACAGAGGTAGAGTGGTTATTAGACGAATAATAACTTTAACAGAGGTAGAGTGGATAGACGAATAATCTCTTTAACAGAGGTAGAGTGGCTATTAGACGAATAATCTCTTTAACAGAGGTAGAGTGGTTAGACGAATAATCCATTTAACAGAGGTAGAGTGGTTAGACGAATAATCTCTTGAACAGAGGTAGAGGGGTTACACGAAAAATCCATTTAACAGAGGTAGAGTGGTTAGACGAATAATCCCTTTAACAGAGGTAGAGTGGTTAGACGAATAATCTTTTTAACAGAGGTAGAGTGGTTAGACGAATAATCCCTTTAACAGAGGTAGAGTGGCTATTAGACGAATAATCCCTTTAACAGAGGTAGAGTGGCTAGACGAATAATCCCTTTAACAAGTCTGGATTTGTTAGAAGCATTTCCTTGTTATCTAACTTCAAGAAAACAATCTTATTGAATAGAAAAGCATTGGATTATAGGTTTAGTTACGGTTATGAATACATACATTAAACCAGGGGAGATGTCTATAAGAAAATGTTTAAGGAAAAAGACACAAATTCAGGAGAAGATAATTTAGGAGAACATTAGAAAACCTTTAACAGTTCAAGAGAGAGAAGTCCAAGAGAAGAAAGGCCACGAAAAAACTTTTTGGGGTAGAAAGCTCAAGATAAAACACTTCAAAAATGGAATTTTAACTATGGAAGATATGAAAAGAAAGATGAGATTCGTATTCTTCAAATATATAAAAAGATGGTTTTTACAAAAGAAAAAAACAATTCTCAATTTTGTTTAGTTTTTTACAGATTGGTTAAATAGATTCCTCGGATCCTCAGTGTTTAGTTTTCAAGGATTCTATCCAATCCATCAAACAAACAAGGAAAATCAGACATTTTAAACACTTCTTTAAATATAGTTTGATTGGGGGGGGGGGAGAATTAAGCTCTAAGCCTGTTTATAATTATATATAGCAAATATGGAAGTTGTTTTTATGATTTTTTGTTTTAAAAATGTCTGGTTTAGAAGAAAGAGTTCAATGTTGAAAGTTGCATCTATCCTGTCCTTCATGCATTATATAGAAAACACTGAGGAGACTTTTCTATAGTTGTATCATTCCATTCATAGTATTTGTTTTTAATGCACCATCCCAGCTTTTATCCAGATCTTTATAGGCGGATTTTACTTGCCCTCGTTTTAAACTTGCATCATCCCATACCTAGTTTTTAAACTATTTAGACTTCTGTGTAAATTTTATAGCTATAGTGTAAACATTACCCCATTATGTTATTTTTGTTGAAATTGTACTCTCCCCGTACCAGATTTCTATAATTGCATCATCCCTTGCATGGTTTTTAATTGTTGCCTGCAGTGCCCATTATTTATAAATTACGAAGAGATAAATATATAGGACTCAAAATATTGCAAAAAATCTAATTTTGTGTAAAACTGTAAGTGTGCCAAAATTGGATTTAAAGGCTGAAATGGGAGAGCCGAAAATAATTTGAAATTAATTCAGCTAATATTGAAATATTAGAATATTTTTATAAAAATTCCACAAGACTTTAAATCGGAATTCAATCCTTTTACAGTTTACAGTCAGGTGTAGTGAACATGACAGTAAATGTAGTATTTAAAATTGCTCAGGGAAAAATCGTTCAAATTAATATATACCGTTCAAATTAATATCTACCGTTCAAATTAATATATACCGTTCAAATCAATATATACCGTTCAAATTAATATATACCGTTCAAATTAATATATACCGTTCAAGAAAACATTTAAAATACGATGAAAAAATTCTTCTTAAAACTTTTTTAGCTTGTAACAGAAACTCAGCATGCCATGGATAAACAATATAACATTACAATACATTTTATTCAGATAAATTAAAATCATTGAGTTACTTTTTCAGAAAATAAAATCAGTAAATAGAAGGATAAAGAAAAAAAATAATTTACCTCGGAAAGTTGCATGCAGGGTTTCCCTTTTTAAACTAAAAACCTGTAGCATGGGGGGTTTCCTTTTTAAACAAAAAACCCGTAGCATGTCCTTTTTTAAACTAAAAACCCGTAGCATTCAGGGTTTCCTTGTTTTAAATAAAAACCAGTAGCATGCAGGGTTTCCTTTTTTAAATAAAAATCAGTAGCCTGCAGGGTTTCATTTTTTAAATAAAAACCCCGTAGCATGGGGGGTTTCCTTTTTTAAAATAAAAACCCGTAGCATGGGGGTTTCCTTTTTTGAATAAAAACCCGTAGCATGCATGCAGGGTTTCCTTTTTAAACTAAAAACTCGTAGCATGCAGGGTTTCCTGTAGCAACTAAAAACTGATTCAAAATAAAGTTTCCATTTTCTTTGATTAAATCTATGTTGTTTTCATTACATGTCACTTCACGCAAACTCTGAAACATACAGTGGTCCCCACAATAAAGTAGATCCGTTGTTGGTTAAAGATAATTTATCTTAAGAGTTCAATTAAACATTGAACTTTTTTTACTTTTAGAAATGGATAGATTCAAAGCTTACTCTAGACAGATTAAAGGTAATCTTTTTATTCCACTTTATTCTGGCGACCCCAGTATCTTCTTGTACTGTACTTGCCAAACCTAATGTTGAGCACAGATGTTGTACAATATTTATACTTTTTTATGTAAAAAAAACATTGAAATGTAGAGGAAACAGAGTTCCTACCACCAACCATTATGTATACATGTCTGTACAGTGTTCTTCATGTAATCTTATGCACAATATATCAGAACATGTGAACAAATATAAACATATGTGTATTCTCTGAACTATAATCAAACATGAATTCAGTGTTTGTAACATCTCTAATGTATGTACTCTTTGTACTCGAATATATTGTATTTGTACTAGTTCATGCACTGCATTTAAAGTATTATATTAACTGATGTACTTTCGGCAGTATGCATATATTCCTTCCTGTAAACCATTGGTTTTCTTTTGAATTTGATTTGACTCAAAGAATAAAGATATTTAATAAATTAATATTTAAAGTTAAAAACTGTTAAATCCTGGTTGGAAAAAATATCAATGTATGCAGATTGATCGTATTTTTTAAACTACCAAATACTGCATTAATAGATAATCCGTTTATTTTTCAAACTAAGTAATTCTCTGTAGTATTTACTCTCTGAGCACTTGTACATTTTTAATAACCGAATCTTTTGTTGAAAAAAATCAATTCTTCATTTAAAACATCAACTAGATATGACTTTATTATTGCTTTGACTCATGCTGATTTTTGCTATATCATAATGAGAGTCCTAACATCAGCTTGCATGTGTACTGTGTACAGTGCCTACAAAGGGCACAATGATTACATAACATTTCACTGTCTACAATATGTAAACAAATGTAAAGTGTTCAAAATATTCCAATATACAATTGTACGTAAGTAATCGAGCACTAATTGTAGTTCCAAAATGTCCAACAATCCACTATACTGGTGGTAAATATTGATTATTTTTTTCTTGTTTCCAATTTCAATCAAAATTCAATATCATGTAAACTGGAAATTCTTGTTATGTTGTGATAGCTAGTTTCCCTAACTGTTAAGTCCTAATAGGTAAATTACCCTCAGAGTCAGAGCCCGAAATTTAAAAGAGTATCGTTGAACGAGTTTCCTCTTTGGGGTCTTAACTTTTGTGTAGATTTTGATTTAAAAGATTAGAAAAAATTGGAGAATATAAAGAAACTAAATATGATAAAATTTCATAACAAAAATCTATATCCATAAAACTGTCTAACCCCATTCGTGAAACCCGTGTTCTAAAACTGGTTCAAAAACTGGTTTTCATAACGATACTCTGTCTTAAGTTTTGGGCTCTGAAGTCCTGAGTGTTCGGTGTCCTAACTGTTGCGTTATGATAGTTAGTTTGTCCAACTGTTGTGTCTTATGCGATGGTTTCCATACTCTTAATTCAGTTGTAAGAGTTAGATGTCCTAACTGTTGTGTTTTACTAGACACTGGTTAGCCGTCCTAACTGTTGCGTTGTTTTGATTAGACGTCCTAACTGTTGCGTTGTGATGATTAGACGTCCTGTATGTTACGGTGTAATAATTAGTGAGTGTTGTAAGGTAGGTATGTGTCTTCACTGTTGAGTCCTATAAGTAAGTTGTCCTAACTGTTCGGTGCAAATGGATCAAATGCCAGAATTCGGATTGTTCATTCTAAAGTAGTAATTTCTATTATTTTTCGTGAAGCAAGGGTTGAGTGGTTTCAAATAAATAATTTTGTTTTTAAATTTTATCAAGTTTTAGATATTTTCCAAAGGTTCACATTTTATACAAAGTCACAGTTCCCTTGATCAAATTTCCTAATTTTATCATCTTCTCTCGATACCTGACAAAGTTTAAAATATTAAAGGCTTACACCACCAGGCTGTAAAGATTTTAGGATTTGATTTAAACCAACCTTATTGAATTTAGTAAGCCATAAAAGTGTCGTTTTTTTTAACACAGTCTTGATATACGGATTAAATCACTTTTTAAAAAGTGTAAACTTTTAGAAAATGCAACTTTTTTGGAAATGTAATTATAACAAATAAAATATGAAACCATGTATATAAAAACCAACCGAGCCTTTTCACACCTTCAATTTTTCTTTCCCAAAGCACTTATTTGCGTTTATTTCTCATAACTGTAATTTATTCATCCCTTTTAATTTATTTTCTTTATTACAGGGTGTCCCGATAAACATGGGAATGCAGTGACGAATTCGATATCGTCTTAGATTTAGTAAAGTGATACCTACTGAAAAAGCTGTAATCCGTAAGAGTTTCATCTGCTATGTTCACAATTTGTTTGTTTTTGTTTTGACTGCATACGGTTGTACTGTAAAACAAAAAAATTACAGTAAAATACAAACAGAGTAAACTTAAACAGACATATTAATATTATAGCTTTTTAAATCAGGTACTATAATGCAAATTCATAACAAAGACGATATTGAATTCGTCACTGAATTCCCATGTTTATTGGGACACACTGTATTGTATGTACTTTATGTAAAAAAACTTATTCGGGTTAAATAACTGGCGCTTATTCCCGATAGGGCCTAAACTTAATCCTTCATAAACGTCCAAATAAATCTGTAAAACTATATTAATATTTTAGTTAATTATTGGTAATTAAACAATTATTTTGCAGAAAAGAACAATGTTTCTTGAACTTCATTAAAAAAAGAACTTGATTTTTTTAGTGAACAGTCTCCTTTATTAGAAATATTCTATTTTTAAGGTTTTAATATCACTGAACAAAATATTGTTTCCCAAAAATAATGTAGTTAATTACACTCAATTTTTATCGACTCCCTTTGTAAAAATTCCTTTATATTTGTATTATTTAATTAGTTTATGTACTGTACTGTTTATTTATAACTAAATTAGAAATACATTTATCGCTGTTGTTTAATCTTACTCACCTTACTGCTTAATTGACTTAAATTAACAAGTTTTTTAGTACAGTGTGTCCAACTGAACATGGCAGTTTAAAAATTACCAATAAAAGTTGGAATATATGTCCTTTATTTGGACCGTTATTTTGAAGGACGTTTATGCATGTTTTTAGCAAAGAGCTCAGGCTCAGAATTTTTCGTTTTTCGATTTTCATGTTTCGCGGGACACACTGTAAAACTGTCAAGTTTTCAGCTGTTTACAGTGACTACACTACGTTTTACGAAACCATACAATGGTTCATGATGCTGTAAAAGTTAATTAATAAAAACTCTTGTTCCCATCGATAGATGGATTGTCAAAAACAATAGATATCATGCTTTAGTTTCAAATATGTTTTCATCATGTTTGCTTCACAAATGCATAACTAAAGTTTGTATGAAGGGGACGAGGTTCTTACAATCCTCGATATATGCTTTGAAATTAGTCAGTTTATTTTTTACAAATTTGACAAAATTAATTTCCACCATGAAGTGATGAACATTATTTATTTTTACATTTCTGTAACATGTGGGTATATAATAGAGCTAGTAATTAGATATTCTTGATTTAAAATTCGGTGATGGTGTTGGACTAAATCTCTGTAGAGTAAAAAAAGTGATGTTAGTTCCACATTTATTGAAAATATATTTCGGTCTTGGTTGACCCTCGTCAGTTCTAACGATATAATAACCATCAAAATCGATAAAAAAATAAGAAGATTGTTAAAAGCCACTAGAAAATAAACAAACAAAAAAGGTTAAAAAAAAGTTAGGGTCGTCAACATAAGGGAAACGAACTCAGATTATGAGATGGTAAAAAGATAATTTGCAAATATTCACTTTAAAAAAAAATGTTTTAAGACAATTATTATTCCTTGAGATTGTTTCTGTCACAAAGATTAAAAACAAAATGTTAAGATTTATGTGTATAAAGTGGTGGCGGGGGTCGATATTCTTGATGGATAAGGCATAAATATAACAATTATATAATTTTGCTATTCATCATCCCCCCCCCCCCACCGTTCTATGCTCATTTTATTAATTCTAAGATATTATGGATGATTTACCATCCCAACTTTTCGGACGCCTTACCAAAAAAAAACAAAAAAAACGTATCATTACTTTTAAACTTATCATATTATTATTGGATGAAAGCCGACTCTTGACTGATGATGTAACAAGAATAAGGTTAATTCCTTTAAATCCATTTAATTTAGTTTCATCAATTCAAAAGTTGCAAGCTTTGATATTTTTCTAAAATCATAAACTAGGGTTTTGTCTAATTTTTTGCCGACACATTGTTTATTCTGTGTTGATAGATCTGAGGAGCTGAAGAGACTGGTGAAATATACATATATGATAAATTATAAACATTTATAACTCAATCTGATACAGCCTGCAAAGCCTGCATTTTCAGAAGAAAAATGGGCTACCAGTTGCTTTTCCAAGAATCTTAAAAAAAAAGATTCACACATGCCTTTCAGCTGTAGTGCCCAGTCCTCCTCAAATTGAAATCTTTGATGTTTTCACTGATTCAAATCGAATTTGTAGAATCTAACAAAATATTCTTTTTTATTTAGAGCCCAAAATCAAAAGTAAAGGAGCTACGTGGTCCAAAAGTCGTATGTTTTCTATCCGTCTCTACATGGTCTCTACTCTAGTGGCAAAGCGAATCTCTAGTGGAGTGTGTGTG